CGAGCTCGTCGACTTGCCAGTTTAATCCGGAGATATTGACGGCTTGTCTACGAGAAGTGGACTGTTTACTTCGTATTTGTCTGCGGAGCTGGCAGAAATGGGTTTAGGGCTAACAGAGGGCTTTACAGTGGACCCGGAAATTAGATAGCCAAGTAAGAAGACTAGCGAGTTACCTGTGGGACCTCCAGCATTGGCTGTGGACTCTCTGGCGCGGGATCCGGGACCGTTGGAGGCAGAGGCAGAGATGGCGGAGCTTGCGGCCCCAGTGGTGTACTTCTAGTGACGGGGGCCTCTACTACCGGTTTTGAAGGTGGTTGTGCTTCCGGTGGTGTCCTGTCGGATGCTCCTTCTACCTTCGTTGCTTTACATTCGGAGGGTTTTGGTGGCGGCGGAGGTTGTGGCGCTGATTGTGTTTTCAATGTTGTCCTGTTTGGTGCTTTTCCTACCGTTGTTGTTTTAGATTCGGAGGGTTTTGGTGACGGTGGCGGCTGTGGTGGGGCAGTGGCAGAAGGAAGGGCAGATTCTTTCCTGGTTGCTGTTGATTTCGACACCATAGCACCAGACGCCTCAGGTTCTACAAAGATAAAAAACAGTTTTTCCGATAAATTATATCAGTAAGCAGCCAAACCAATCACATAGATTCATCTGTGCCTTGTAGTCATCCTAGCACGGGAAGCTGTTGCAAGGCTGTCGCTAAAGGCCACATTGATGTGCATCTACTTGCTCCTGGCGAAAGGGCTACATTGGACTTACAATGAGGCGCCCGGAAAAGGCTGTACGTGAACACATACCCACCTGACTAGGTAGATGTGAAACCCGACTGATTTCGAATGTTATTCTAGTACATCTAGTCCATAGGAATAACCGAGCCGACCCAAACGAAACATTAAAGATTGTCTGCCAGACGCGAGCCCAGATATCTAGAGGCCTACGCAAACGGATGCTAACAACAGCCCAGGCACTGGCCATACGACGAGCGGATCCAGCGGCGTGATATACAGGCGCTCTGCCTGCCGTGGCCGACTTCAGATAATCATCAAATGCATCGATCACACCCTACCGTACCTCCCCTCTCTCTCAGAACCAATCACATATAACACGCCGACCTCACCATGCGGGCATAGTGGGAAAGATCAGTGGTAACTATAAACCCTGTCAACTTCTAAAATTTTCCTTATGTTTGTAACTATAGACCTGGTAATTGAGTCCCAAAAACGTGTGTTTTCCGACTTGACTTTTTTCGAAAATGTGTTAAACAGGGGCTCCAAGATCCAACTGCCTACCATTGACGCCATTGGTAGACACTGGAACGTCCTTCTCCTCCTTCTCTTCTTCCTCGTCCTCATCAAACTCGGGCCGGAACTCCCCTGTTTTGGCCTCTTTGGAAGGACCTATTTTTACCTACAGATGGGAACAAAGGGCAGGGGTTAATAAAGGTGACTGTAGTTAATGGTTTTCCGTTACAAGTAAGACAGAGAGAGAGAGGACGAAGACGCCACGATGGCGTACCTTTATGGAGCTTGGCAGAAGGCGCTTCAGTGTGTTCAACTTGCTCTCACCTCGTTTCTGTTCCGCCAATGACTCAAGACTGAAATGGCGAACAAAACGGGTAAGAAAGTCGCGTGTTTAAATTACGTCGCGGTCACCATTAACGAATAATGACGTCCAGGGGACGAAATAACGAAGGAGATGTCACGACCCCTAAGCAGAAATATTAGTAACAAAATCCAAATAGGTCGAAAATAAATAAAGTTTAATAATATTAGGTAATCCTACTCCGATCTGTTTAGGATGCACTCACCCTGACATTGTTTGTGAGTAGCGAGCTAATTGGAACCCAAATTAAATATGTTACTCGCCAACTATTAGTAACAATGTTATTTTACCGACAACAAAGTTTAATAAACGTTGAACAACCCGACTTTCAGCAATCAAGCAAGCTACTCGTAGTTGTAAAGCTGGCGTGTGTTTGCGTCAATCATACAAAGGTAGTATAGACACGAGAAAGTTGAAATATCGTCAAAAAGGCTGTTTAGTCTGGTTAGTCAGCAGAAGTCGTCACCTGTTTCTCATTTTGATCTGGCTTTTTTTAGTATAGTGTACGCACCGCAATTGGCATATGACACAAGTACGATGTACGATTCAGGAAAGAAATCTTAGCATGAACT